GAAGTATTGTACAATATTCTGATAAGAGTTTGGGATACACATGAAACTAGTTAAGCTGACTAAAATGTGTTTAAATAAAACTTATAGTAAAGTCCGTATAGCCAAACATTTGTCCAATAAATTTTCTATCCAGAATGGTCTAAGACAAGGAGATGCATTATCACCATTCCTTTTAACTTTGCTTTAGAATATGCAAGGCAAGGCAAGGTAAATTGAGGCAAGGCAAGGAATATTGAGGCAAGGCAATGCAAACTGAGGCAAGGCAAGGCAAATTGAGGCAAGGAAAGGCAAATTTAGGCAAGGCAAGGCAAATTGAGGCAAGGCAATTCAAGACAAGGCAAATTGAGGCAAGGCAAAGCAAATTGAGTATAGGCAAGGCAAGGCATGGCGAGGCAAGTCAAATTGAGGCAAGGCAATGCAAATTGAATCAAGGCAATGCAAATTTAGGCAAGGCAAGGAAAATTCAGGCAACGCAAAACAAAATGAGGCAAGGCAAGGCATATTGAGGCAAGTCATGGCAAATTGAGGCAAAGCTAGGCAAGGCAAATTGAGGCAAATTGTTGTCTGTTATAAATAAGCTATTTATGTATTTGTCATTGTGATGGTCTACTGGAGCTGCATCATATATTTCTTTGAAGTAAGAGGGTTTATCCTTTTTCTTCAGGCTAATGTTGGAGAATTGAGAAACCTGCTGGGACTTTGCAGTTGGCTAGCTCTGCGTGACCTGTTTATGAACTGTTTTGCAATGAGACAGATCTGACTGTATGAACATGCAAATCTTCATTGATGTGTTCTGTACAGATCTGGGGGAAATGATTATGTTCTATCGCAGAAGTCTGTCTTTATGACAGTGGAAATATCTCCACCACAGCATACTATGATTTATGAGGTAAGTTGAAGGGCTGCATTCCCTCTTATAGGAGTTATATTAGTTGTTCTCTGCTTTCACACTTAGTTTTGAACTGATAAATGTTGTGTTTTAAGGAACATGTGGTTGATATGCAGATGTGTTCTTCCTTCTAGGACACTTTCCTGCCTGCCTGCCTACCTGCCTGGCTGTCTTAGTCTACTTGTGTCTTCCCTTTTGAGCCTGCCTTTGCCATCAATGCAACTAAAATTATTCTTACCTACTACTCTTATGCATGTGTCTTTCATTGGCCTAAGGGAATAAAATCCACTTACTATTGCTTTAAATTGAAATGTTTCACTTTGTAATGTAATAGAAAAAGATGATAGTTGATTAATTGTAATGTAATCAGTTTATTGTTAAATATGATTTGACCTACATATTTGATTATAACTGTTGTATGTCGTAATTAAGATACTTTTTTGTCATTTTGATATTTAGTTTAATTTCATGATATATTTCAGGAAAGTAAATTTCAATATCTTGTCCCTGAGGCAGAATTTTGGAGACGAAGGAAATATGGATAGTCGCTGACTGTGGTGACCCTGTGTCTCCTTTGACAGACGTTAGCAGCAGTGAGAGTGTTGTCATTGAATGAACAGGCAAACCCACTAAAATGTTGTGATGAATGTTGGTGATAAATGGTCTACTCCTGGGTATATTAGGGAGACACAAGTGGTCCTAGTGACAGTGGAAGTGATACGGCCATACCATACCAGCATTACGAGGTAACAGCTACATCAGCTATTCCTCCTGCTGGAGTTAAGTTAGTTGTTCTGGTCATTTAGTCTTTTTTGCCACATATTAAATTTTGGTCTCTGAGTAACATGTTTCAGTTATGCCTGAGGTTCTATCCTTCAAGTGTCATGATCCTGAATGTCGCATATGTGCTTCTGCCTTGTCTTAAGTGCAAGCCCTTTCTTCAGCATGTTTAGACCTGCTTTTCTCTGCCTCTTTCTTTCTGCCTGCCTGCCTGCCAGCCCGATTTCCTCTTGCAACCTTCCAGCTGGCATTGTACTTACCTAGCATTCATGGGGCTTCCCTTGGAATTTGGAGGTGATAGGAAACACACAGGTTTGACTTGACATGAATTTTTTCNCCCACTAAAATGTTGTGATGAATGTTGGTGATAAATGGTCTACTCCTGGGTATATTAGGGAGACACAAGTGGTCCTAGTGACAGTGGAAGTGATACGGCCATACCATACCAGCATTACGAGGTAACAGCTACATCAGCTATTCCTCCTGCTGGAGTTAAGTTAGTTGTTCTGGTCATTTAGTCTTTTTTGCCACATATTAAATTTTGGTCTCTGAGTAACATGTTTCAGTTATGCCTGAGGTTCTATCCTTCAAGTGTCATGATCCTGAATGTCGCATATGTGCTTCTGCCTTGTCTTAAGTGCAAGCCCTTTCTTCAGCATGTTTAGACCTGCTTTTCTCTGCCTCTTTCTTTCTGCCTGCCTGCCTGCCAGCCCGATTTCCTCTTGCAACCTTCCAGCTGGCATTGTACTTACCTAGCATTCATGGGGCTTCCCTTGGAATGAGGAGATAGGAAACACACAGGTTTGACTTGACATGAATTTTTTCAGTTAATAATATAATATACAGGTGTCCCAGGAGGAATGGACCAAACTTCGGGAGATAATGGCCCAAGAAAAGTGTGGTCTTCTGGCAGGTCCACGCACTGTATCTGTCAGCTGAGAGGCCTTATCTATGTTTATCCTTGAGTGTGATGATTCACCCTTGCCGTGCTTATGTAGTTGGCTTATACCAGAACGCGCAGTCAGCGCGTTACGTCAGCGCTTGCCATTCATGTGTCATGTATAGTGCTTGGAAACCCTAAGGACAATTATGACATGGCGAGCGAGTATTTTGTACTTCAATTTTATGGCTTCATGTCACTCACAAGTTAGTTTGATGTTACGTACATTATTAACATTACAGAATCCACACATTCCTGCCAGTTTTAATACGTATTTTGTAATCAACAAGTGTTCAACGCCGGTCAAAATTTGACACTTCTCTGGCCATTATCTCCGTAACCGTTCAACTTTGGACATAGGTGTTTTGGGTTATATCGGCATACTTTAACATAAGGAACACCCTCCCGAAGTTTGGTCCATTCCTCCTGGGACACCCTGTATATAAAAATAATGTGATGACGTTGACTCAAGTTATAATGGAAATTGTGACAGTGTGTTGTGCTCGTTTTGTTAGTTATTAAGTGTAATTTTTGTAAGATTGGATGCTTAGGTTAAAATGCCAGATGGCTGGCTGGAAGGCGAGGAGATAGAGCCGTGGCTGACTCTTCGCATTCCTTGGCAGTCGATCGAATTGTCTTTAGAAAAGACTGTTTATGCATCAGTGGAAAGATCCGGTCAAGTTTCGCTTTGCGCGACAAAGCATGTCCGGCAAGTTTCCGACCTCAGGGATTTCGTGCGTGCAGCTTTCGCGACTTGGGAAAAAAGTTGAATCTTGGAATTGGGATAAAAACAGGCCGTTTGAGGCTCTCTGTTTCTAGCAGTTGCCAGAATCGGACGAGTAAAGCAAAGTGTGCCTGTGGAAAACCTTGGGATGGCACCAGTATTTTTCATGTGCATCATGTTCATCGCCAGTGGGTACTTGCCTGTGGTTGGGTCACTGATTGCTTATTAGAACTTTTGGTTTAAATTATTTTGGTTGGTTAATGTGTGCTTAGAATATAGAGTTGTACGAGTGGTTTATTTGATTATATATTCCCTTTTTTTGTTTTGAGAGCTTGAGTTTTTGTGACCCTCCTAGTGAAGCATGTTTTCCACAGCAGAGGTTAAGTGATATCCACGGACGTCCGATAGGGGGTGAGTACAGTCAATGCCCCCTATCCGGGCACAAGTGGTAAAATGCTTTGGCACATTTACTTAACTTGAACTATTGTCTGTTATAATTAATCTAATTATGTATTTGTCATTGTGATGTTTTACTGGAGCTGCATCATATATTTCTTTAAGTAAGAAGGTTTATTCTTTTTCTTCAGGCTAATTTTGGAGAATTATGGAACCTGCTTTGTGGACCCTGCGTGACCTGTTTATGAACTTATTTGCAATGAGACAGATCTGACTGTATGAACATGACAAAGCTTTAGTGATGTGTTTTGTAGAGATCTGGGGAAAATAGGTCAACCTATAGTCATGTTATATCGCACAAGTGTGTTGTAATGACAGTGGAAATATCACTGTCACACCATACTATCATTTATGAGGTAAGTTGTAGAGTTGCAGTCCCTCTTATAGGAGTTAAATTTGTTGTTCTTTGCTTTCACACTTAGTTTTGAACTGTTAAATGTTGGGTTTTAAGGAACATGTGGTTGTTATGCAGATGTGTTCTTCCTTCTAGGATACTTGCCTGTCTTAGTCTGCTTGTGTCTTCCCCTTGAGCCTGCCTGATTGCATACCTGCCTTTTCCATCCATACAACTCAGATGACCCAGTATGAGTGTACTCAGTGTCAGTGTGAAGGAAGAAATACCAGGCAGTACATATATTTGGTATTGAGCAACCAGAAATGCCAGATAAACGAGTATAGCTCTGGATGGCAGTGTTACATTCGTATCAGAAGCAGAATGTACACCGTCTACAAAGGCAAAACTCTGAGGGGATCTACCTAAATTCTGTAAGAGCAAATCACATTAATGTAATGTTGAATGTACGAGTGTGCTTTCTTTGAATTTCCTTGTGCAACACGTCAGTTTCAAAACATTGCATTAGCAAATGCAGTCTGCAACAGTGCACAAAGTTTGTTATAAATTATGGAGATAAAATCAGATAAGGAATTCTCTACAATATTACTCGCACACTTTCGTTTCACTGCAATTGGAGTATCTGATGCAGTAACTGGAAACCCACTTTGTATGTCTGGATAATGATTCCAATAAAATAATACTAGAAACTGTTCCTTCAGGACACTATCCATCATATCTTCATCCATCTAATGACAGTTTGCCCAGGCATTCGAGTCATATTAAGATTGTTACCTCAACAATTTGAGAGGCTTAAGTGCTGGTATTACCGATGAGAGGGATTTCTGCAGTGCTCGGTTGAGGTGGCCTCAGGAAGCATGATATACTTACCAAGTTTCATGAAGGCTGGCAGAGGTGTTCAACAACTGTTAGGGGCAATTAACAAACACACACACAGCAAGTTGATCTTGTGTCTATTACTGATTTTTAAAAATATGGAGATAGGCCTAAAAGGGAAGGGAATGACACACAGATATAGGGCAAAAATATACATACAAGATATCCTACTGAATAAGACATACCAGAAATACTTAATTTTATAACACTAAGTGTAACAAAATACTATAAATACATGTTAAGGAAAAGTAGCCAGAAGATTAACATTCAAGCCATAACTGTTAAACATATTTACGTTGTTACATATTTCATTCGCAGCTAAGGTGAAGCGAACAGGACGTTTATCAGGATATTTTATTATAGATTTGCCATTTCTTATTGTACATGTTTATTTTTTAGTCAGAGTCTTCTGGCAGCATTCCAATGAGGATCAGACAAGAATGGCATTGAAGAGGAAGGAGCATTATGATGGAGATCACCCTGCTGCCAAGAGAGCGAGACTGCTGCAGGTGGATGATACTCAGGAAATGTTCGGATCACTTGGTAATAACACCAGTGGGGCACATTCAAATTTACCACTAAATGATAAAAGGGATCATATGGATGACGATGTCCTGTTCTTAGATAGTGACAGAGACCTTCTGTGGGAGATGGTTGAGTTATATGATTTGAAGATGTAAATACCGAGTTGTGTAAACAGAAACCAATAGTCTGTTATTTTTCTAGAACACTCACATGTGTCAAAACTAGTTGGAAGTTGCATGATTAAAAGAAATGTTGTGCCTGTGCTTAATTAGTTAGTTAGTTATTGGAGAGGGTGGGTTTCCCCATACACTGAGACCTGTATTGGTCCATTGTGCTTCCCTCTATGATTTCTACCAGTCTCTATATCCTACTGGTACTGGTGCTTACCATCTGTCCCGCCCAGCCAGCGAGACCTGCTCCACTAGCTGAGAGGTATCTATAATGCTTCCCCCATCAACCAGAGGCATTAGAGACTGTTGTTGGGCGGGAAACATCCGTTAATTTGGCTCAGTGACCTCCTTTGGAGATATGAGGTTCTTTTACGTGCTGTAAAGCTACGACACGGGACCCACGGCTTAAAGTCCCTCCCGGAGGACTTGTTCCCTGAATTTTTCCGCCCTTAAAAATTTGATGACCTCCACCGGGTATTTGAACCCGCGTACTACGAGTCACGAGGTGGGAACATTACCTCTAGACTACAGAGGCCGCTCTGTGCTTAATTAGTTAAGCACTATGCCATGAAGACATATGAGGGGAGTGGAGGTATATTTCCACCATTCTTGACCTGAGCACTAGATGGAGGTGAGTGGTCAGCTTCACTCCCCTCCTGCTTTACCCGCAGAAGTGGTTTATTACATCAACTTCCACTCTTCAGAGAGATTAAAGAAAAAATAGGAATATTCAAAGGACCCGGTATGATTGTACTCAGTGTCAGTGTGAAGGAAGAAATAGCAGGCAGTACATATGTTTGGTGTTGAGCACCAGAAATTTCAGATACACATGAGTATAGCTTTTGCTGGCAGCGTTACATTCGTATCAGAAGCAGAATGTATATCGCCTATAAAGGCAAAAGTCTGAGGGGATTTACCCAAATTGTTTAAGAGCAAATTACATGAATGTAATGTTACGATAGCATTAGGAGTGACAAGTGTGCTTGCTTTCAATTTCCTCATCTAACATGTCAGTTTCAAAATATGGTGCATTAAGAAATGCAGTCTGCAACGGTGTACAAAATTTGTGGTAAATTAAGAAGATAAAATCAGATGAGGAATATTCAGAAGTATTACTCACAAACTCTTTCCCTTCACTAGGGTTTGAGTATCTGATACAATAACTGGAAACCCACTTAGTATGTATGGATAATGAACCAAATAAAATAACAGTAGAAACTGGGCTTTCTGGACACAATCCATTGTAGTGTTTTTTTTATTTAAAACAATAGTTTGGACACTGGAATCTGCCTGAATCCTCAGATAGGCCTAAATCTAGCCCCTATGTCCACTAGGGCGAACACAAGGCAGGGATATGAGCCAAATGTTCATAAACCATATGTGGGAGGAGGACTGAGGAAGAGTCTAGTCTCCAAAACTGTGTTTTAAATAAAATAATTATCTCAGCATGGAGACAGCATGCAGTCTCTGATCCACTGCTGTAAAAGAAAACCAGGACAATGGATAATATCCAAAATATTAATAACTGTGTTAATACACCATAGTCACAAACTTTATAACTCTATTTTTGCTCTCAGAATCAGGTTATTTTATTGCAAATCTGCCATTTCTTATATATTTTTTTTTGTTTCAGGCAGAACCTTCTTTCAGGAGTGCCCAGAAGATGCTGACAATGATGATATTTTGATTTTAGATTATGAAGACCTTGTGAAAGAAATGGATGATCTGTTTAGTGATATATACTTGTAGTTTTCTAATTATATGTATAAGGAATGTATTCTGATTATTTTGTAATTTTCTAATTGTATAAGGAATGTATTTTTACTATTATAAATTAATAAATCTGTAGTTATGTAAACAGAAACCAAGCGTTCATTATTTTTTCAGAACACTCAGATGTGTCAGTTGCATGACTTAACAAAAATGTTGTCCATATGCTTAATCAGTTAAGCACTATGCCACAGTGGAGGTCTAGTTCCACCATTCTTGACCATGGCACTAGATGGAGGTGAGTGGTCACCTTCACTCCACTCCTGACATCCCCAGTACAGACTGGACAGGAGGCCGAGATGGGGGCTTTGAAAACTGTTGCTTATCAGAATGAGTATTTTTACATACACAGAACCACTTTGTAGCATTGGGAGCATTGCAAACTAGAATTCTGAAAGCTGCTGCTCATTTGTCTGCTTCAGTAATTAAATGATCGGTATAATGATCCCACGTATGAATTCTGTGTTGTTCAGTAGCTAGGAAATCTATTGTTTAGCAAGCAGACTTAGGTTTGTTGTTGGCACAAAATAGCATTATTTTGGCTAATCTGACCAAGAAACAATTAGGGATTTTTTCCCTGGGGTTTGTTTTCTTTGGTTATGTTTAATTTGTCCCTGTTTTTAATCACTTAACACTGCACCACGAA